TTTCAGAACTCAGGTTGGCCATAAATTCTAGTCAAGTTGTGCATATTTGAACTACCATTTCTCACTACTTTTTTTTCCCCAAGTCCTTTCTGAAAAGTGCATACATGTGTAGAAATACATTAAGCTGTAGACTTTAATTTTATGCACTTTACTATGTGCAAGTCATACTTCAATTTAAAATGATTTTTTAAGTAAGCATGCCTACGATCTACAAGCATCTTACAACAACCCTGCTGCATCCAAGGGGGGAACTCAGATCTCTGAGGCCACAAATCCATGTTTTCTTCATACTCTGTGCAGCCTCTCTGAGGGGTAATACAGAAGGGGTACAGACCATATTCTGGAGAAACCTGAAAGAAACAAGTACAAGAATGGCGTAGCAGTGTCAAGCACCTAGTTGTAGTGATTCTAAGGGATTTTTTTTTTCTAACAATTACTGACAGTTTATTCTGCTGTGCACCCAGATTTTTTAAAAACAATCTTGTATTGCTTAAGATGGGCATTTTTCTAAAATGTATTAAGATCTTATCTTCTAAAGCAGAGCAAACTGTACATAACTGGACCTTTCTTAGATGGATCAGAGTCATAATTAATAAATAGGCTACTGTGTTGCAGGGTTTCAGGAACAGTAAATAGTGAGTGGTGTTATCTGTTTCTTCAGAGCTCCTGCAAAAGGTTATGTTTGATCAGATCATCAGAACTACGGTGTGTGTGTCTGTGTGACACACAGACACACACACACAGGATTGAACTGAGACCCTTCACCCATACTAAGCCCAAGCTCTACCAGTGAGACCTCCAGCCCCTATACTTTCTTTTAATGAATCTATTTCCACTGTGCCATTTGCCAATATATGCCTATCTTTCTCTTAATTTACTGTTTACCTCAATAGGGATCTAGACCTTAACATCACAGTTTTTTATGGAACTCATAGAACAAACTGGCTGTGGGTAAGAGCCTGTTATTTTTGCCAATTTCCAAGTTGGGGTTGTATCCTACACAGGTTGGATCACCAGATAATTAAATTTTAAATAGGAAAAATTTTTTTAAATTCTTACTTTATATTTTCTTTAATAGAAGTTGTATGTATAATTTACATATAAAAAGTGTGCAACTCACAAGTCTGATTTTTAGCAAGCTAAAAAAAGTCAAAAAATACTCAAACACATGGCATTACCTAGTCTCTCCTTTCCAAAGTATTTTCATATGCATCATTTCAGTAGGTAACTGCAACAATCCTGTGAGGCTAAAAGATGAAATTAATATTTGTATTTGACAAAAGTGGAACATGAAGTTGGGATGAAAACTGATTTTTCAAATCAGAAGGTAGATAACAGCAAAGATAAAATCTTAGTATTCCACTGCAAGGATCCTCCCAGTATATTAAAAAAGTTACTCAGAAAATATAATGTGAATATCAATTCTAGTTATCAGATTTTGGACAGGATCAAAGCAAACATCCTGCCAGTACTTTAAACCTTAGAGGTTGTTTAGACACTGTCTGATCTGACTAGCCAATGTCTTCCCAGGCAAGCAGTTAAATATTTTGAGTTTCTTCCTTAGGAGGTCAAACACCAACATACTCCCTTAAGGGGAGGAAGGGACATAAATAACTCTACAAGTATACCAGATTTATAAGAAAAAAGTATTCTTTCAAAGCTTAGATGCCTTAGAATTCCTATCTTGTTTTCCCATTTTCTCCCTCTTTTTTTAATCTTTTCATTCTTAAAGCCAACAAAATAAATTTAATTGAAATGGGGAGTACTGAGTAACCATAAAAACTTTTTTTTTTTTTTTTTTTTTTGGTACTGGGAATTGAACTCAGGGGCACTTGACCACTGAGCCACATCCCCAGCCCTATTTTGTATTTTATTCAGAGACAGAATCTCACTGAGTTGCTTAGGGCCACACTTTTTGCTGATGTTGGCTTTAAACTTGTGATCCTCCTGCCTCAGCCTCCCTAGCAGCTAGGATTAGAGTCATGGTGCCACTGAGATGGGCCAGTAAGAACTTTTAATAAGTTTAATTGTTTGGATGTGAAATGGTCCCCAAAGGCCCACACATTGAAGGGTTGGTTCCCCAGGGCAGCAGTATTCCGAGGTGGGGCTTTGGGAAGTGATTGGATCATCAGGGCTCTGACCTCATCAGTGGATTAATCACTGATAAATTCATAATGTGATAGCATGATTGGAAGGAGTAGAAACTATTGGAGGTGAAACCTACTTAGAGGAAGTAAGTCAATGAGGGCATGCCCTGGTCCCTTCCTCCCCCTCCCCCTCCCATTCCTCTTTCCCCTCCCATTCCCCCTTGCCCCCCCAGCTTCCCACTGACCATGAGCTGAGTAGCTCTGCTGCATCATGCCCTCTCCTCCAAGATGTTCTGCCTCACTACAGGGCCACAGCAATGGAACCAACCATGGAATGAAAACCTCTGAAACTATGAACCAAAATAAATCTTTCCTCTTCTGAATTTTTATTTTTTTTTGGGGGGGGTGCATTTTGTCATAGCAATGAAAAGCTGACTAATACAATAAGCATTCCCAAACTTGTATTTGAATCAGCTACTTCTATCACTATTTCAAATTACCATCTGTTCTAGAAAGCCTCAAATAATTTAACCATAACAGCAGTACCTTTAAACAAAAAGTTCCAATTACAAAAATATGAACGTTCAAACGTTTCACAGAAAAAGTTTTCCAAGTCAGATATGAGAATACAATATTTTATAAATGGTCCTCCCAAGGGGCTGGGGTTGGGGCTCAAATGGTAGAGTGCTCGCCTAGCACACGTGAGGCACTGGGTTCGATCCTCAGCACCACGTAAAGACATTGTGTCCACCTAAAACCAAAAAATAAATATTAAAATAAATAAATAAATGGTCCTCTCAAAAAGGTGCTGAGCAATAGTGTGGAAGGCCCATTTTTGGTAAAACACACAGGAATCAGAATTGTTCCAGGCACGTGAACATTTTTTTGGATGAAGATCACAAAGGATTCAAATTTCCCAAGGGCTGTAGTTACTGATGCCAACCACGCAGGTTGTCTTCTAGATAATCCTTCTGTGAGTTAAACCCTGCCCAGTGCTTCCAGTCTATAAGACCAATGTGTGTTCTTAGTTCCTCCTCTGTAAAGTGGGTAACAATGACACCCACCATTGGGCTGGCCCAAGAATTCATTCTATTAACACAGGCTCAGAACCAAATCTACCCCAAAAGCTGCTTTTTCCCTCCGGTACTGAGGATTGAACCTGTGAATGCTCTACCACTGAGATACACCCCCAGTTCTTTTTTATTTTTTATTTTGAGATAGGTCTCTCATTATGTTGCCCAGGCTGGCCTTGAACTTGTTATCTCTGTTATCTCTTGTTAGCAAGAGTGGCTAGGATTTTTTCACCTAGGGCTATGAACCCTTCTTTTTTTAAAATTTTTTTTATTTGTTCTTTTTAGGTATACATGACAGTAGATCATATTTTTAAATTTAAATATTATACACATATGGAGTATGACTTATTCTAAGTAGTATTCCATTCTTTCTTTCTTTCTTTCCTTTTTTTTTTTTTTTTTTTGGTAGTGGGGATTGAACTTAGGGGCACTTGACCACTGCGCCACATCCCCAGCCCTATTTCCTATATTATATAGAGACAGGGTCTCACTGAGTGGCTTAGCTCCTTGCTTTTGCTGAGGATGGCTTTGAAAACTCATGATCCTCCTGTTTCCCGTCCCCATCCGCTGGGATTACAGTCATGGGCCAGGACGCCCAGCCTAGTATCTCATTCTTGTGGTTGTACATGATGCAACCAGAGTTTCACTGGTGTTGTATTCGTATGTGAACATAGGAAAATTGTGTCTGATTCATTCTGTTTTTTCCTATTCCCAACCCTCCTCCCTTCCCTTCATTCCCTTTTGTCTAATCCAATGAATTTCTTCTGATCCCTTCTTGAGGACCGACTTCCTCTAAATTAAGCCAAATATCTGTGAAGACAGGCTGATCAATACTAATTCAAATTCAATTCATATTATTAAGTCCCTTTTAGCTAATTCTTAACTCATGCACTGTTCCAAGTATTACAGAAAGCAACAAAAAGGAGGGTGGTCTTCTCAAAAGGAAATAAACAAAATTAGAGCTTTTATCAATATCTGGTTTAGAACAAAAATAGCCCTTTGAGGAAACATTAAAGTGTGCCATTTTCTCCCATCCCTTCTCCCAAAAATCTGCTTCCCAATAAGGGATAGTAAATCAAGCATCTCAATAATATTTAGAGGTGCGAAATTCATGGCTTATTTATAAATTGCCCACTAGTTCCTACCCTGGATAAACCAATTTCAATTCATTGCCAGGAGGAAAAAGCAAGTTTAACTGAAGCACAAATTAGCTCTGGTCCTATATTACATGTAAATGTATTCTTTACTACAACTATTTCTAAAATGCAAACTTATTTACTTGCAAGAGCCAAAGTGCTTTCCAAAGCAAGTTTAGGAGCATATGGGTTTTTTTATTCAATTATGTGCTAATAACAGAAAACCACTCCCGACAACAAAGCTAAAACAGTTGCTCTGTCATTTTGCCAGGTCATATATTTTCTCATATTTTAGCAAAGTTGGGAAAACTAATTTATATGTAAAACCAAGCATCTGATGAGTTCATTGATTTCATTTGAAAGGACGTCTGGAGGAACTCTCTCAATCTGGACCCGGTGCCTCTCCATCTAATAAACCCCAGAAATGTTCAACTGGAGAATGGGTTTAAAGAAGAGTGACTTTGGCAAACTTTTCTACTGGTTAAGGATTGGAAACTTCTGATTGTTTTGTGAAAAGGCATTTTTGAAGGGCAGGCTAAAGACAAAGTAAACCGACAGCCTTCACCCAGAAAAAAAAAAAAATGATCCGAAGTCCCCAGTTTTGAAGGAAGAATGTCTTTGACCTTTACTTAGGGCCCAGGGGCTGCCTTAGGACACGGGGCCCAGCAAGGGGGCTGGCGCTGGGCGAGGCCGGGGCCACCTACCTGCGTTCCTGAGCTTCTTATTCCGATACACCGACAGGATGACCAGGAGGTTGCCCAGGATGTCCACCACGATGGTGAAGATGAGGATGAAGGCCAGCGTGGAGGCCTGCCACGAGGGTCGCACCCGCGCGCCCTCCGCGCCGCCGGGCACCTGCTGAGAGGCATTGAGCAGTGCGCTGCCGTTGCCCTTCATGGTCCCCCTCGGGGCGTCTCAGGGTCGCCCGCCCATCGCCCCGGCCGCCCCGCGCTCTCGGGTGTCCCAGCGCGTCGCGAGCCGCTGCCCCACTTTTTATGGCTCCCCCATCTACTCCTCATCCCGACAGTTCCTTCGCGACCGTCCTGTCCGCTCCACCCCCTCCCGACGGCCCGACACCCACTCGGCACTTGGTGGCCACCGCCTGGTGACACCTGCGGTCCGCTCCCAGGCCCCCGGGATACGTGCCAACAGCGCCCCCGTGCGGGAAGGTGGGGCCGAGTCGCCGGCGCCTCCTGGGGCCGAGAGCAGAGAGAAGCGGTTCGACCCAGGGGACCAGGCGCTGTTGTTGCTCGCCTTGGTTAGGTTTTTCCTCTCTAGAACCGGCCACTTCACCCTGAAGAGCCAGACTTCACGTGCTTGAGCCCTAAATGGAATTGAAGCAAAATTCCTTAACCACCACCATGTGCCCCAGTTTCTTATCTGCAGAAATGGAAATAAAATAGTACCTAACTCATCAACTTTACAGTTTGTAGGATGTGAAAAGAATCAAGAAATCTTTTCAGTCCGGTATTGCACCATTTAACACTTGGGCTGGATGTTTCCGATAACGAAATGAGATCATAAAAGAAAAATGGAAGAATCAGTATTTGCAGATGATAGGAGTACTTCCTAAAACACCAGAGAAAATGAGACAGAAGACATAATTATATAGGACTGACACAACAGAAATCGATGTAGGATTGCTGAGAAATGGCTTCACCAGCTAGGTGTAGAGTGAGGGAGGGAAAAAAAAAAACCTTAAACCTTGCTGGGAAACTTACTTACGAGGTGAGCTATACCATTGTTCTCACATTGAAAGCTTGACATTTTCATGTTCTCTATAGATTTTATGCCACCCCAATAAAAATATCAACTGACCCTAAGATTCTTTTGAAAGAGTAAAGAGGGCATGTAGAGAAAGGAATTTGAATAAGATGAGCAGGTGAAAAAGGTGATATATATATTTAAATGAACATTAAAATTACATTAGGTAAGCCAGGAATGATAGCACACTGTAATCCCAGCTACTCTGGAGGCCAAGGTAGGTGGATGACAATTTAGGTAGACTGTGTCCCCAAATAAATAATGTAGCTTAGTAGTAGAACCATCGCCCCTGGGTTCAATCCCCAGTTTCCCAAACAACAACAACAACAAAAATACAATAAGTAAAACATTTAAGTTTATCAATATATGAAATGTACATTTGAGAAAATTAACATTTCAAATCAGTGGGGAGAGTAATTTACTATTGAAACAAAGATGTATTTAAAGAAAGCGTTGGTAAATTGGTATACAACCTCAGGGTGGAAAGGAACTCTAGGCATGGAAACAATAGCAGAGTGGAAAAAAATCATAACTATAGGAAGAATGATAGAAGCAATCGTTGACTAAGCCCTGGTTTCCGAGTACTGGGGTCATTATTTTCTATGCATTGCCTTGCACATTAATCTTACAAGTTTGGCTTCGCTAGGACCAGTTTATAGATGAGAGAGGTTAAGTAATATGCCACTAGTAATGGGTGAAGGCAAGATTTGAACTTTGCTCTCTCTGCCTCCAAAGCTATAAATCTCATCACTAAGCAATAGTGTTTCTTAGTAGTGATAGATTTGGCTAAAGAAAAGTTAAGGGTCTTAGCTGGGTGTGGTGGCACATCCCTGTAATCCCAACTGCTTCCAAGGCTGAGGAAGGAGGATTGAGAGTTAAAGTCAGCAATTTAGCAAGGCCCTAGGCAACTCAATGAGATCCAGTCTCTAAATAAAACATTAAAAAGGGCTGGGGATGTGGCTCAGTGGTTAAGCCATCCTGGGTTCAATCCTTGATACCAAAAAAAAAAAAAAAATGATTGAAAGTCTTATATTTAAAAAAATATCATGAACTAGTAAAAGTCATATAGGTAAACTGGGGGAAAGGCTCTTATGTTATTATGTCATATCTAAGAAACAAAATCATTAATAACCTATTTATTTAAATAACTTTTCAAATTAACAAGGAAAAATAGAAATATATTTAATTATCATAATTAGACAATTAAAAACTAAAACTGGAGGATGTGGCTTAGTATTAGAGAATGGCTTAGTAGCAGTAGTAGAGTACATACTTAGCATACATGAGGCCCTGTGTTCAATCCCAGCACCCAAAAGAGACTGTGAAGTTTATATATAACCTCTCTTTTAAGGAAAAAAAGTGATAGTGTGTTATTTCAGCTAACACTTTTAAAACAAAGTGTGATTCTTTAAAATCCAGGGGAAAAGCATTCCTACATATTACATATAAAAATCTTAAAACGGCATATACTTTTCAGTAATTCTAATAAAAAATAATTGAACAATTTTTCACATATATAAGGACACATAGTTGTTCCTCAGCATAATTTGTAAGATAGTCATATAGCACTTAATGATGAAGTGCATTGTTAGGCTGTTTCTCATTGTGTGAGCATCACAGAGTTTACTTACACTAATTAAGGTGACCCTGAGGTCCCTAGGGGATACAATCAAATGGGACCACTGTTAAGTATCTGTTCCATCCTTGACCAAAATGATATGTGTATTCGACTGCATTCAAAAACCTAAACCTCTTATAATTGGGGTTTTGATGAACAAAGTAATATCAATACATGAAATGCGATGGCACAGGTAGCTAATTCTCCTCCACAATGGGTGGCACACACAGTGGTGGGGTGTACATAGAACAGTTCTCAGAAGATGATATACAATTGATCAACAAATATATGAAAAAAGGTTCAACATCTCTAGCTATTAGAGAAATGCAAATCAAAACTACTCTAAGATTTCATCTCACTCCAGTCAGAATGGCAGCTATCAAGAATATAGACAACAATAAATGTTGGCGAGGATGTGGGGGGAAAGGCACACTCATACATTGCTGATGGGACTGCAAATTGGTGTAACCACTATGAAAAGCAGTATGGAGATTCCTTAAAAAACTGGGAATGGAACCACTATTTGACCCAGCTATCCCACTCCTTGGTTTATACCCAAAGGACTTAAAATCAGCACACTATAGTGATGCAGCCACATTAATGTTTATAGCAGCTCAATTCATAATAGCTAGACTATGGAACCAACCTAGGTGTCCCTCAATAGATAAATAGATAAAGAAAATGTGGTATATATACTCAAAGGAATATTACTGAGCTTTAAAGAAGACTGAAATTATGGCATTTGCAAGTAAATGGTTGGAATTAGAGAATATCATGCTAAGCAAAATAAGTCAATCCCACAAAACCAAAGGTCAAATGTTTTCTCTAATATGCAGATGCTAATTCACAATAAGGCAGTGGGAGGCACCAGGGAAGAATAGTGTTACCTTAGATTAGGTAGGGGGGATTGATGAGAGGGGTGGGGAGGGGAATGTGGGGATAGGAAAGATAGTAGAATGAAACAGACTTTATTACTGTATGTATATATGTGACTACATGACTAATATGATTCTGCAACATGTACACTCAGAAAAATGAGAAATTATATCCCATCTATGTATGATATATCAAAGTGCATAAATGCATTCTACTGTCATATAAAATTAATTAAACAAATAAAAATTTTAAAAAAGAATGAAAACGCAATAAAGACATATTTAGCTTTAAAAATCATTAAAATATGCCAGGCATGCCTGAAATCTCAGCACCATGGGAGACTGAGGCAGGGGGATCATGAGTTCAAAACCAGCCTCAGCAACTTAGTGAGGCTCTGAGTAACTCAGCAAGACCCTGTCTCTAAATAAAGTATAAAAAAAGGGCTGGAGATGTGGCTCAGTGGTTAAGTGCCCCTGGGCTCATTCCCTGGTGCCCACTCCCCGCCAAAATTGTTAAGTTGTTGCTAGCAGACATACTATCTAAAGAATATTAAAGAGAAGTTCTTTGAGGCTAAAAGAAATGGTGCCAATTAGAAACTCACACTCTCAAAAATAAAAGGAAGTGTCAGAAGTGATAAGCAGCTGGATAAATGCCAAGAACAGTTTTCTCCTTTCTCCTAAGTCTTATGTAAACAATATAATGCTTAAAGCTTATTTTATAACATTGGCTTGTGAGATTTATAATTATAAAGCCTGGGGAAAAGGCATGTAAGTTTGCTAATTTCTATATTTTATATAAAACAGTATATTAATAACCATAGTGGACTGCAAAAAGTTGAAGATGGATTTTGTGATCCTTACGGCAGTCACTACAATATGCGAAGGGGCCTGAGCCCTGAGTCCCAGCTCCTTGGGAGGTTGAGGCAGAAGGATGGCTTGAGCCCAGGAGTCTGAGACTAACCTGGGCAACACAGTGAGACCCAACTATAAAAAGAAGAGACAGAGACAGACTGTCCCCAGAAGATGTTCAGGAAAAAGAATGAGGTTGTGCCAGTAGGACAAGGGGTTTGACTGTCAGCATAGGGTGATAGAGATCTGCTTCTCAAGTAGAGGTGAGAAATTGCCTCATTGATTTCTCAATGAATGAATGTATGTGTTGTTCCTCAAAAACCTTGCTGTACACAAGCACCAGTTCCATTAGGACACCTCTTTTTTTTTTTTCTTTTCTGTAATCCAGGGAGAAGATGCTGCGATTAGACACATTGTAAATTAGAATATTGCCCGCTGTGTTCAAATAAAAGACAACAATAAAGTACACACACACACACACACACACACACACACACACATGAAAACCCCTCAGAGCTCGTAGGCATCCAGAATTTGCCTAATGTGCTAAAGCAACAGCAAGATTGAATCAACTTAATTCTGCCTCAGTGTACCATTGAGCCAGGAGTTCATTTCTCAAAGGGCTAAGCCCTCTTAATCTGTCGACCCTTTGATCTACATAGGGATATTTGTCCAGAGCAGCCTCCACAAACTCATATTAGCACCAGGACTTGCATTCTATGAGCCAAGTCTTCCCAAGCATCTATTGAGCATTTTTGAATAATTTCAGTAAGTCAGAACGTCAGTAACCCAGGAGGTACAACTGTGCAAATAAGGGTTTTTTACCACAGGAAAAGGATGTATGTGAATTGGCATGTGTGAACGTGTGCTGGGGGAGGGGACTTGTTCAGTGGAGCTCACCTGGTGCAAGTGTTTCATTAGCTACAGAAGACTGCATGGTGATAGAGTTGCCACAGGGCCATGATTCACTGTGACCATGCATGAACCCTGCCTCTGTTGGATTGTGGACTGAA